TGCTTTACAGTTGATTGCTGTCGGTTCTCATGTAACAGTGTGTTAGCTGGCATACTGTGCCGCAGAGTTCAGAGGAAATCTCTGTAATGTAACATACATGTAGAGGAAATCTAGCGCTATGTAACATACACATGAGAAAATAAAAGTTTTACTCTACATTGCCTTGTTAAAGTGAATGTTTCAAAGGGACCTTGAAAGGTGTTTTTTAAAGTTGTTTTTTTCTTCATTGCAACTGTGGAGAAGCCTGTGGAAACTAAAACAGGAGCATCTGAGACTGGAGCAAGATATATAGGTATAGAGAATGCACCAAATTGGCATGATCTCTCTCATCTGGTTTTTAGATGCGTGAGTTTGAGTCAGTTACACTGACGTGCGAGAGAGCAGATTCAAGCATCAGCAATTTTTCATGACTTCAGATGATTCTTGAATGGGTTCATGTGACAGCAGGCTTAACGTAATTTAAAAGCCGTAACACGTTAGCTATGCAAATAGATGTGAAACATTACTTAAATATTTTTGGCTTCTCCTTTATGAAGTGAGTAGCTCTGCACTTCCTGTACCTGATCTGAAATTAGCTACACTTTTGGAGTGAGAGGATCCCAGCATTCCCCATTAATACTTTACTGTAGCTAGACCACTTGAGGGTTGTCAGAACAGTGACGTGTATGGGAATTCCTCCTGCAGAGGTTATGTCATGGTAAGCAATATTTCTTTTCACAGTTGGCACTTTCCTCATTCCAGATAAAAAAATAAAATCTTGAGTTTGTTTCACATCTCTCGCTGTATTTTTGGGGGTATCTCAGCTTCAGCCAGTGCACAGCTGCCGTCTGCAAACTGGCCTTTCATCTTCACTATTTTGAAGTCCATACAGGAGAGTTTAAAGGACAGAAAGTGGTACTGAGAATGTGAGAACTCTGTTTAAAAGGAAATGTGTTTTCTGAAGTGGGCCTATGCCTGTGAAAATAACATACATGTGAATGAGTGTTGTTTCAGGCTGGAATCTTTCCAGATCCTAAAAAACAGGTAAATGAAAATAATTAAGTTAAAAAGAAGCTATAGCTGCCATTTTTTATTTTGTTTTGATTTTAAATCCAGAATAGGATTAAACCTTAACCATGGAGAGCCACATAGTACTACTGAGGACAAGCATGTATAGAAAGTTGGGGTAACAGGTAGGCTTTCACAAGCAGATGCTGCTAAATATGTTTGGGGAGGGCTTATGTAGCTGCGTAGCATTCCTTGTCAGTGACTTAGTTGTAACCAGAGTGGTGTTGAAACCGAACAGCGGTGTGGTTGGTGTGGACAGGGTGGTCATACCTACGGCAGGGTGCATGACAGATTGGGACTGAGGGCTCCTGGCGGGAAGATACAAGGAAGCCTTTGGTGTGTCTTTGCTCTGCGAGTTACAGCCATTGTTCTCTGATCTTCTTGATCACGTTCCAAGTGTCTTGCCATGAACTGAAGTGGTTAGAACAAATCAAGTGCATTGTCGGTCTTGAGTTAGCCCTGCAGTTGTAACTGCGCGTGGCTTCCCCCCGCAAGGTGTTACGGATTATGAATGCTGATAATGAGCTTGCTTAGGGTGGTATGGTTGTTATGGCCTCGGCAGCATTTATTTTGGTTGTCCCTGATGCAAGGGAGATAAGAAATTGTAATCCATCGGTCCCTCGCAGGACTGAAGTGGGGGTTTGTGAGCTGTACCCAAGAATTAGATCTAGTATTTTCACAGTGGTGTTACATCTTCTGAAAAAAACACTCTTCCTTCTTTACCAGTTTTCCCCTGGGAATTTTAAGGATTACTTGACAGTGCTTTTATTTTTACTTCAGAAGATGAGGTCATTGGCAATTCCTGTACTGATGGGTGTTGGTGGTGGGCTTGGCAGGTAAAGGTGGTGTTGTCGCTATACTGTCTCTTTTCCTTCTGATCTGTCATCAAACCATGAGGAGGGTGACAGAACTCTTTCTATGTCACTACTTTTGTTCTTTCCTTTAGAAACCTGGATATTCAGTGTGGCCAAGATTAGTATTGCCCAGCTGGCCATTTCTGCTTCCTTAATAAAGTGTCAGCATGGTAGTGATAGGAGAAAAGTGTCCTTCTGTATGTTAATAACAGTAGTTCTTCAATATGCATGCTTAAGCCAACATAATAGTCTACCGTTGTTCCAGCCACTTATCTTGAAAATAAAATAAAAACTCAGATTAAAAGCAGTGGTTCCTAATCTATGAGCTGTGTCCTGCTTGCTGGCACAGGAAATGTGCTGAAGCCCAGCCAACTGCTAACCACTGCCTTATGAAATGCAGTTGAATCTGCTTCTTTGGACCACCACAGAGACCGTGCAGGAGATTGTTTTTTTCCTGGAGAAGACTTCTACCTCTTCCCGGTTGAACTGGTATTAATTACACTTGCTTCCTCAGACTCTACCCCTGCTTAGACTCTTCCTCCCTGGGCTGTCTTTCTCTGACATCTTTGGAATAGGCAACACCCTTTTTCAGTGCCTTTCTTAGACCTTCCGTGAAGTAAGTTTATGTTCTCTGCTCAATTTCTCTATTTTTTGATAGATTTTTTTCTTCAGTTTGGTTATTATAACTCAGTAGCATTTCCGTGAAGCATTTCAATCTTCTTGTAAGAGTTGCACACAAATTTTAAAAAGCCTGTATGTGCAGTAAAAAAGCACTTAAAATTCATGATTTAATCTGTAAATCATAGAAAAATAGATTTCAAATAACAAGGAAATTCCCTTATCTTAGCTGTAGGAGCTACTATTACAAACCACTGTAATGGAGGGCATTCATTTAATATAAATGAGAAAAATCATATAGTGTGCTGTGGGAATTGCGCCTTGGTTGATAAGGAAGGAGTATGAATTGATTTTTCCCATGAAGTGCTTTGTTCTGTAAGTCACTGGTAACACTAAAGAGAATCAACAAAGATAGTATGTTGCACAACAATAATTAGGAAAAACTGTTTATGAATAGGTGAAGTCACACAGAGTTTAGCTGCTTCTGTGGTTTCTTAATTTGGGTGTGGTTTAATTAAATATTAACACAGGAACCTTCAGGATTTTGAAAACAACTGCTTTGTCTGTAACTGAGGAAATCCATTTTCTGTCTGAGCAGCCGGTAGCAACAGCACCATTAGAGAGTCCCATTTCTGAAAAACACCAACTGGAAATGTTGCCCTGTGGTAGCTGCTTGCTCCGATTGAAGCCTGTCTGCATCAGCAAGTTAGTGCATCTCAGTCCATGGGGCTTTGGAGTCATCCCTGGCACAGCCAGTGCTGTGCACAGTTTCAGACCATTAAATTCACCTGGAATCTCTGGCTGCCTGACCTAAGAATCCAGGATCAAATTTTGATTCAGCTGAAGCTGAGGAAGGAATAAGTTGGGAAATAATAAGTAGGTTAAAAGATTGTTTGGGATTAAGTCAAACTGAGGTATTTTGGAATTGCCAATGGGAATTTTACAATTCTCACATTTGCCATTTTCATGACATCATCAGGTGTTCATGCATCTTTTTCAGAGTTTGCATGATCTTTGGACCATCCCCCAAAACCTGGGAAAATCTTGAATTTGAATACCGTGATGAATCTATTGTGATTGCAGTTTGCTGTCCTGAAACATTTTACTGCGGGTGCCAGAAGGCATTGCGTACCTTAGTCTGTGTGAAGGCTTGGCCTTGCACAGCTAACAAAGAGCATTTCTGGCCGCGTTGATTCAAGCATTTGTCAACAAAGCACTAGATTTTTTAGTGTGTTGTTACACACCATAAATCTGTGCCCCCTCCTTGGAGGGATCCTAACTTGGTTTGAAAAGTTGTGTACCCCAGTGTCAAGGTTAAGTGTTACAAGGCAATTACTGGAATAGGACAGCAACAGTAGTTGCTGGTATCGGTTGAGTTTGGGGGCTTGCAGTGCTGTTCTTGCTTGCTGGCTCTGAGCCTAATATTAAAATTAAATGTAAGAGATAAGGGGAGGGATATGGGTATTAACAGCATTGAAAAAGCAATGGATTAACTCAGTCTCTTGAGTTGGTTTGGTGTTTTTCTTGCCTGGCACATGTGCAGTTTGGAAAGGACGGTTGTCAGGAAATGCTTGTGGCAAGGTTGTGGGTGTGTTCCACACCCAGAGGCCAAGAGAAAGGCTTTTTCTCCTCCTGCTTGTTACCTGCATTTATTCTGGCAATGATTTACTCTGGGCAAAGTATGCTGCTCATAACTTAGCAAATATAAAAGATTAATCTCAACGATTTGCAAAGGTAATGGGGAGTAGCTGGATTTGACTGTGGCTGTGTCTACAAAGTTCTGTGTTTTGGGGCTGGACTATCAAAAAAACCCCAGCCTTTAAAGGTCCCTTCCAACCCAAACTATTCTATGATTCTGTATGTTCTCAAATTCTAAGGTTTAAAGATCATGCTCCCAAGTGATTGTAAGAAATAGGTGCAGCTGAAAGCCAGAGAAATGCAAGTCCTCCTCTGAAATAACCCACCTGCTGCTTTGGGCCATTTGGGCTTTCCATCATACTGGACAGCTTCTGCTGCTGAGGCAGAGTTTAGAAAGCAGCATTGGTGGAGATATGCTTATCATGACAGATCTTCTTACTCTGCCTTCCGTAGTTTTTACTTACGTATTGCAACCTCTTCTTTCTTTCCCGTTTCCTCCTTTCTGACTTCTCTCTGATGTTTTTCTTTTTCCTCCCCATCTTCTCTGCTTTGCCTGTGTGCACAGGATGGAGTTCAAGATCTCCCGCAGTGGAGGAAGAAGCTGCTCTTCCCTGTGGTGCTAAAAGGAGTGGTGCTAATCTAAAAGAGGCTTCCCAGCATGTTCATGCAACTGCATGTTGGTGATAAACAGGCTGCTGATCTGGTGTGGTCAAAGTTTGTCTCCCTACTAGTAAGGTAGGAGAGTGAGAAGTATAAATTCTGCAGGTCGGCTTGGTGCTGAACTACTCATCCTTACATTTTGCTGTATAAATACACAGTGCACTTTGCCTCTCTGCTTTCCAGCTGCCTTACAAGCACTGAAGAGAAAAAAGAGGTATGAGAAACAGTTGAATCAAATTGATGGGACGCTTTCGACCATTGAGTTCCAGAGAGAGGCACTGGAAAATTCCCACACCAACACAGAAGTGCTCAAGAATATGGGTTATGCTGCACAAGCTATGAAAAAAGCGCATGAGAACATGTAAGTGCTTCCTAATAGCTTTCAAGTTGAGCTTGCTAACCACTTCCAAACTCTTTCATCATGACAGTCTATTCTATCAAGTCAGGCAGTTTTGACTTCATTTTGGGTTCAAGCATTTAATGTCAGGAATGCTATTGGTGCTGAAATGTTGTATTTGGCAGAAAAATATCTTTTCTTAACAGCAAGGCTAGAAGGAAGTCTAGCTAACTAGAGACATCCGTGTGGTACCTGTTGTTTTTTTTTTTAAGCCTGCTTTGGCAGTGGAGACTGGCCTCTGCTCTTGGTTCTTCCAGAAGAAAACTTAGTTGAAGAAGCTGGGTGGACTTCTTTACTTAAAGTCCATAAGCTGTACTGTGTGATTCAAAGTACTAATTAGACCTGAATTAAAGAGAGGGTATTTTTTTTTGTGTGTGTAGTATTTTTATATGGTCTATATTTTTATATGTTCTATATTGGTTCATGAGGCATTTTCCTGCCTGAATAAATAGAGTTAAATCAGAAAGGTTGTTCTGGGAGAAGTAAACATGAACTGAAACAATAATGAAGTTAACAATAAGGGGAAGCATTTAAATGGGCTGTAATCCTGTTAAATTCCCCCAGTTCAGGTGAAGGCTTCACATCAAAAAAGATCTGCCTATAAAGGTGTTTTGACCTCGGGAAGGAGATGGGATCTGCCATGGGACTGTGACTGTTGGCTGGCAGAGGCATGAGAAGCACAGAGAGCGAGACACACAGAGTCTGCTGCAGTTTGGCTTTTGCTATAATCTGAAAGCGGAAGAGATTGGACTGGCTAAGAGACCCAGAAGCTTGCCAGAACATGTAGGTTAGGAAAAAGGTTCCCTGTGAGTTCTGCTGTCTATCCAGCCATGGGCATAAGAGGAAGATAGAGTCTGTTTGAGTTTCTCTGAGTCCCTTCTGTAGCATTTGAATGATGTGTCTTTAAAAAATGTTTCCATGTTGTCTTGCCAGGGACTTGAACAAAATTGATGATTTGATGCAGGATATCACTGAACAGCAAGATGTTGCCCAGGAAATTTCAGACGCTATCTCAAACCGAGCCGCCTTTGGTGATGAGTTTGATGAGGTTAGTACTTCAGTAAAACCTGTGAGTTTTACCTGTTAAATGACTCCATAGTGATTCTGTGGTGTGATGGCTTGTTCCGGTGGTTTGTTTCTCAAAAGGTGTGGATATGAAATTCCTTGGTTCTAGCTACCCTGTCTAGGACATTTTTATAATTTTTTTATATATATATGTATATACACACATAGATGTAGAAAATAAATAAAATTAATACAATAAAATAACCTGTATATGTAAAATAGGAAAAATATTTTTATTTATATATGAATTTTTAAAATACTTTTAACCACACTTCTGTAGTTATTCTTGTTTGTACTGTGGAAGGAGGAGGTCACTAAAACGTGTAATTTGTGGTGCTCTAAGTGGACACTGAAACGTGTAATTTTTTGTGCTCCAAATAGACATCCGTTTGACTAAGCACATGTTCCTGAGCCATGGACAGGCTGCTGCTCACAATTCTGAATACTTGGACCAGCTCTTTCAGGTCTTTTTTTAGTGATTGGAGGTGCAGGTTGGTTCCCTGTTTTCCAGATTCTCTGAAGAAGTAGATCCATTATGTAGAAGTAATTGCTGTTGGAGGCAATGAGATTTCTTCCTTGAGCTCTTTTCTTCTGAAGCCCCACAAGGCACTTAGGGCCTTCGGAAAATTTGTTGCAGTACGTTTTGTCCAGCGTCGCTGGATTTGATTTTGTATGTCTAAGCAGGACATTACTTATTTCTGATCCAACCATGGCTGAGGACTCAAGGGTCAGGCATACCCCAAATTCCTGGAATCTGTGGAATGCAGAGCTGGGGATCAGGCTCGGTATCACAACCGGTTTGGTTTTGGTTTTTAACTATGTTTGAAAATGACCAAGCCTAGGGATCTTTTGAAGAATGTCCTAAAGATAAAGAATTAAACAATTCACCCTCTCCCCAACTGATTCGTCCCTAGGTACCCCAATGGACCTCAAAGAAAAATACATATACTACTTGATTGCAGGGGAGGGGAGGTTTCTTTCAACAGTTATAATTTGTTGGAAGTAGAAAATAATTCTTTGTATTTTGCTTTTCTACTCTGAATGTAAATAGACTTTTCAAGAAACATTTTATCACTGGCACAAGGAATGGGATTTGCCCTGTGTAAACTGGGCTTCGAACAACTGAGAAGCATACTGCTATCCCGAACAGCTATGCACTGTCACTTACCTTTTGTCAGTGCTTAACTTCTACAAGTCTAGACTTCGTAAGCATGTTGTAGATTGACGTGGAAGTTCCTAAGGGATAGTAGTCTAAGTTGATGGGCATGTTTTCTCTTCTGGGCAGATAAGCCACAGTCACACGGGGCATTGTTGTACCAGCACCTGCTTTTGCATAGGAGTCTAATACTTAACAGCATGTGTCCAGTAATTGAGAAGTCTTTTACAGGTCACTTCAGCTTAAGAGCACTAGTGTCAATGACTTAATTGCTGGGTTATGAGGTGGTTTGTGTTGGAGGATGACATTTAATTTTAGTTTTTTGAAGGACATTTTGACCACATTTCCTCTTCACATGTGTGCCATGGGTGTAAGGGGATTGTAGAAGCATATAATTTCTGCTGCTCCAGATAGACACGAAAACATAAGGCTTCTTTCTCCCTGGGTGGACACAGCTTATGTCATGAAGAATGCAAAAAAGCTCTGCTTTACCTGAGTAAGGTGCTCGGTGGGAGAGGTGACCCTTGCCTGGAGGCCGGTTTCTGATAATCAAATGGAAAATGTGCACGTACCAGTGGACAGAGCCTGGAACCTGAGAGTTCAGATGATAATCATCCCTCTGCAATCTTTTTGGCCTAGGTTCAAGAAGAGGAGGGGGATTTGTTGTTGCTGTTCCATAACCTAGTTGTAGAGCAATGCCCAAGTTGTAGGAAACGTAAGTTAAATCCATGCTTGAGGATTAGAAGCATTTAAAACTTGGGTTTCCCACTCAAGAGCAAATGTTCTGCCATTACAGTGTTACGTTAAAATGTAAGGATCCTGATCACTGTCTCCTTTTTTTCTTTTTCTTTTTCTTTTTTTTTTTTTTTCCAAGAGCCTGTGGTGGCTGACACATCTCTTAGTTGTTTTCTTGTTCAGCAGAGGTTGGTAAGGACTAATTTGATGTGGGCGAGTGTTGTTAGATGGCCATCTAGAGGTCTTCAGAAATACTTGTTTCCATTGACTTTGCAACAACCTGGATATTTACTTTGCAAGAAGCTTGCGTTCACACCACTGACTTAAAGTACAGACACGTGTGCGCCTCAGCTAAATGCCTAAGTTAGACATGGGGCCCCAACTTGCACTTTTCTTGGGGAGATCAGCTGTCAGTTGAACACGATCAGGGGCAGACCTGATGCTGAAATTTTTAGATGATAGCCTAGTATTTGCACTGGGTCAGATAGGCAAACTGTAGCCTTTTTTTAGCCTTAAAAATAGAAAAACATGAGAAAGTAAGTGTAGGAAGGCCTGTGGTGGCTATGTAATTATTTTAATTTCCACGTTGGTGATAAGGAAGGTATAAATGGGTAGGCAAAGCCCTTTTCAATACCTGGTATATCTCGCTTTGCTACAGCCACTTTTTGCCCAGCTGCTTCTGCTCATTGTTTCCTTTTAAACCATTTTATGAATGTGGCAAAGGTCAGTTTCTCTGCAGACATGTAATATTTAGCTTCCTTTCTTTGGGAAACTCCAGCCAAGGAGTAAGTCTTTGGCTTTTTAAAAAAGTGGGCAGCCACTTTAGTATTATACAAGTGGATTAGATCATCTGTCGAAATCAGCTTCTGCAGCTAAAAGCCCAAGAGTGTTACATGTTTCAGGAGTGAGTAACAGGACCTAGGAGGACACTTCTGATTCTAGTGCTGCTTTGAAATCACACATAATCCTGGACTTGTGTGATAGGACAGAAGTGCAGCGTTTGATGACAGTCTACCTTGTAACCAGTGGAAGCTGTTTGCTTCTTAAAATGGGAGAAATTGCACACTAAAATGAGAATCCGTGCAAGAGTACAGGCTCTAGATTTGGAACAAACCTGAGGAAGGCAGAGGGACCTTTTTTCCCTCTGTTTGCCTTTTTGACAAGTACTACACTGCCATCAATTTTCTTTCTGATATTATTCCTTGTCCTGTTTCTAACTTCCATTGTCCTTTCAACTTTCAATTAAGGTTTACTGTAATTGCCCACACTCATATGCTGTTTTTTGATACTTGTTTTCAGGTGTAAACTGTTTTTTCAGTAGTGCTTTGCTTCATGGTCATTAAATGTCCCCTTGCCTGAGATCACTGTCAGGACAATGAATTTGTAAATAATGTTTTCCTTGAATTTAGGATGAGTTGATGGCAGAATTAGAAGAACTGGAGCAAGAAGAATTGAACAGGGGAATGAGAGATGTCAGACTGCCAAGCGTTCCGTCCACATCACTGCCTTCTCACCCTGGTAAACTGCTTCCCACTTTACCTTTCTCCTGAGTAAGGCATGTTGTTAGCGAGAGGAGAGGAAGAGAGAGCTCCAGATATGTATTTAACTGTGTTTTAACTTTTAAAGGATTATAGGTTCCTTTTCCTATTTTTGTATCTGTTTATCAGAAAAAAGCAGAGTGGAATTCTGGTTTGCTGTATGAAAGCATTTAGGATCAAATTCTGAGTAGGTTTGGGGAGGCAAACTCGGGGAACTTGACCTTGCACATAAAATAATGCATCTCCTACTGAAATGTAGGGAGATCACTGAGGAATGGGGACACCTTTTTTCTCTTGTTGGCAATTAAATCCTTAGTCTTTGTTAATTAGAGTCTGACCTAGATTCAGAATGTTTGCGTCACGAAGATCCAGCTTTGTAGGGTAGTGGTTTGATATTTGCCAGTGGTATTTTAATTAGAAATGAAGGAGGCAGCAGGAAGGACGCATTTAAAGAAATACTGTCATTCGTTTGCTTGCTTTCTGTGGAACAGGTTTATTCCTGGCATTAAGCAGTAGTGTTATTTTTCTGTAGTTCTGCCCTGTTCATTTTTAATTAAGCCAGAAACAGTCAACTTTTCATTGTACCTTTTACCGTGTCCCTATTGTCCTGTAATAGCTGAAAGACTTGCTGTGTACTAGTGCTGGTAAAAGAGTATAAATATTTGGTGGCAAGGGCAGCACACCTAGACCAGCTCAGCTCAGAGACTCTTGTTATGTGTTTTGGCAGACGGCACTTAAAACCCTGAGAAGCAGTGTAAAATGTTCAGATTGGGATTGTTGCCTCACCTACTTAAGGCAATTGCAGAGCAGCCAGTAAAGAAAATGGATTTAGAAGAACCCAGTGCAAATTGCAACCTGGGCAGTTATGGCTTGTTCGTACAGCCTGTTCCAGATCCAGCTGTGCCAGTTGACATTTTTATTAAACCCAGGCCATCTCCATGTGCTTCTCACTATCTTAATTGGCTACTTCATCTGTCTGTATGACTGCTTCAGGCCAAATTAGGTTGTTACATTTATGCAGTTTTAGGCCTTGCAAAACTGGTGTATCTTTTACCAAACTGGGTGCTTACCGTTACACAGCAACAGCAAAATAAGAACAACAGGTAATGGTTCTGTAATGCTTCTAATTGGAGAAGCGTGCTAACCTCCTGGTTTTAGAGATGAGGAAAGTGAGGCGGAGCGAGGCATAGTGACCTTCCCCAGCCACGCAGTGAGCCAGTGGTGCTGGCCTCTGGAGCAGGGACGGGACCCCTGGTCTCCCATGTCCTCCCCCCACCTCTAGTGCCCAGACAGTAGCTGCAGCCTCACTTCAGATGGTGGCTCCTGGCTGTAAGGCTACCGCAGGCGGGAGCCAACTGGCTGCTGTAAGCGTGCGCACATGGGTGTTGCACCCAGTAAACAGTGTCCCAGTGCTGCCTGGAGGAATGCAAATCCTGACGTGCATGGCCCGCAGGTGGAGACGGCCGGGGCTGAACCCCATAGGGCTTGTGGCTTGTAGGTCAGCGAGTGGAGACTCTTTGGGTGAGGCTTTAGTTCATGAAGTGCGAAAGGTGCGTGATAGGAGAGTTGGGTGAAAAGAGAGAGACAGAAAGTGTGCGTGGGACCTGGTACAGAGCTGGGAATTGCTGTGAGCACAGCAATGAACTGATGTCACCTGAGCAAAGATAAGTTCAGGAATTTCTTTCTCCCTTTTGATAATTGACACCTCACATTAAAATGGGGTGAGTGTTTGGAGACTGGAAATGCACATGCAGAACTCTTCAGCAGTACTTGGAAAGGTAGCAGGATGCCCAGCCAGCCAGGGGTAGGTCACTCCTGCCCACCCAAGTGGCAGTGAGAGAGCTGGCAGCGTTCATGTGGGCCCTTGCTCTCTGTGACAGCTTTTAGAGCTTAAATGTGTTTGTTGTGGGAGTCTTTCAGTAGGGGTTACATCAGACCTATACTGTTAACCTCAGGGTTATATTGTGAGATAATAGTGGGGCAGAGGAGCGGCATCTCATCAGCTTTGTTACTGCATTACCTATGTTTAGCTTGCCACTCAGTAAATTGATCTGAGACCTTCAAACTGAAAAGCACTATGCAAGTCCTCATGCTAACAAATAAAATGGTTCTGACTGTTACATTAGTTGATGGTAATAGTTAATATCTCTCTCTCTCTCTCTCTGCAGCATCAACCAGGAAGAGAGCAGAGGATGAAGATGAAATGAAGCAGCTGGCTGCCTGGGCTTCATAAGAGCACGGTCTTTTTGTAACACCGACCATTAGAGTGCAGATGTAAAAAGCTGTAATGCTGTTTTATAACTGTACCGATTTAGTGTGGCTGCGTTTCATACAGGATGGGTTTTTTTATGGCCAGTCTTGCTAAAAATAGTCTTACTGCCATATTACAAAACTAGTTTAAAAAAAAAAAAAAAAATGCAATAGTTGCCAAAACCTCCAAGCATCAAAGTTTCTTCAGCCTTGGCCAGAGATTTGGTTTGTTATTAGTATCAGGTTTTTTAGGTAATGTCTTGCTATATCTGGCTGGTTTGTAAAACCTCTGTGCCTCAATTATGCCCACAGCTGGATTCATTGTTGAAAAGTTAAGTAAGTCATGAAGACCCTACTCTACAGCATTATTTGGTTCAAACTGTTTGAATATTAGCAAAACAGCTTTATGCATGTCCTGACTTGCAAGTTCCTTTGAGCCCAGGAGCTAATAGCCGTTGTTGTGGGAATGGACATTTAAACTGTCTGCCTAGAGCAACTGACAGTGTCCTAGACATTAAGAGGAGATTTTGCTGTAGGATTTTTGAAGTGGGATAGATTTTTTGTTTTGTTTTAACTTTGGCCAGACTATCCCATGCACTTCTGTAGGTCAGCTTGAGCAGTACATACCGAACATGAGGAAAAACCTTACCCTGAGGGTGACAGAGCACTGGCACAGGCTGCCCAGGGGGGCTGCTGAGTCCCCTTCTCTGGGGATATTCAAAACCTGTCTGGACACGATCCTGTGTGACCTGCTGTAGGTACCCTGCTTTAACAGGGGGTCGGACTAGGTGATCTCCAGAGGTTCCTTCCAACCCTGACCGTTCTGTGATTCTGTATTTTGAACTGTTTCCAACTTGGTTAAAGGAGTTTTACGGTGATTGAGGAAACAAATGTCCAAGTTCTTACAGATCACTGCCAAACAAAACTGATCTCCTCTAACTCTTTCAGAAATCCACAAGAGATTTATCCTTCCTGTGTTCTTCTCCACCATGTCTTTCTAGGGTGAGTCTTTACTTTGCATGATAATATGCATCCTCAAAGGAATTAGTAACGCGTTTTTTTAATTATACAATTTCAAAATAGTTTTAATTTCTGAGCATTCGGTTCTTCTCTCTTACTCAGTTTCTGAACGGAATAATACCAGCGTGTTGTATTTGAAATGCCTTTTTAACCCTGGTTAAATCCCATTCTGGATTACTTGTAAAGTTGGCATGTTATTATCCAGCTGACAGCTTTTTAGCTTGAGGAACAAATGCCACTCTGAGTGCTAAACTACTGCATATATAGAGAAATCACTGTTCAAATACAACCGAAAAATTAATAGGCTGCTTTGTACTAACAACTTTTTTATTAAATAAGACTTACAGTCTATGCTGGTAGCCTGCTGTCTGTCGCAAGGAAATAGTAAAACACTGTGGAGTTCCTAGAGATGTGGGAAGCAGAGTCACGTTGATCTGGGTTTCTTGTTTTCAAATTAATTTAAATTTACTGATGACTGAACCACTTGGGGAATAGTGGCAGACTTGGTTTCTGTGGATCTATGGCAACAGAAGCCTGAGCCCTTCTCCTGTGCGCTTTGGCCTGCGATTTGCTGGGTGCTCAGCTTTGAGAGGCAGCAATAGGCTTCAGCTCGTTGGAGTTTAGGTTAAGCAGAAGCTAATGTCTGTTTCTGGACATGGCATGCCTGCATGCTCAGAACCTTTCAAGTTGAGTTCCGTGGATGAAACCCCAAGTTCACAAACCCTGTGGAGAGATTCAGTTTTTCCAAACTTTTTCATTCTCTGTAGTAGAGTTGCTTTTGGTTTGCATCCATATGAAAGGAGCATTGAGCCTTGCCACTTTTGATAAAGTTCCTACTGGAAAAAATATGTGTTTTAATTCTGTCCCAAAGTTGGGAAGTGCCAGGAAAATTGTCCCTTTCTGTTGAGAGAAAGCCTGGAGCTATTCAATTTTTGTTTTAAAAACAAACAAACAAAAAAGTTAAAGAAC